AGCTTGCAGAACGGCCTTTACATCCGACCCAAGTTCCTGTGACTCTGGGCAGAGACCTCGTGCATCTTGCAGTAGCTGTTTGCAGAGCACGCTTTCGGGGAGCTTTCTGCTGTCTCTGGGCAACCAGACCTATCGGCTGATGTTCTTCCTGATGCTCTTCAAGATAAAGTAGATTTGCTTTTTGTGGTTCCATCTCTTTTATTTCACAGCCTTTAATGCTCTCTTGCACTTTGCCTTTTTTTTTTTTTATTTAACATAGTTGCTATGTTGTTGTTTTGTTTGTTTGTTTGTTTTTTAAACTGAGATCAAGTCAGTGTTTACCTTCATTTGCCTTTTCATGACCCACATCGCGGTGAGGGATCACAGTAGGGACCTGACCCCCAAAGTCTTGTCGCCACCCCTTACTGAGGCTGCTGCTCTGAACTGAAAAGCCAGATGGAGAAAATTGTGACTAAGTGAATAAAACCAGTTAAATAAAACAATGGTGACCATCGCAGGGGAGGTCTTGTGCTCAATTGCTGTTGCCTTTACAAGTATTCGGACTCTGGCCAACATGCTGTGCAGTTTCTGCCCTCAATTATTTAATGATATCTACAAATGTCAAGTGAATGACAAAAAAAGAAAAAGTGTTATCTGGGGTTTATTACTCTTGCTGTCCAAAGCTTATGTTTTACTTTAGAAGATGTGGCAATTAGCAGGGGATCTCCTGGGTACTTGAGGTTGTACTTAGGGCATCGCGGCAGTTTGGGTGCCTGATGGCTCCGCCTCACCAATTTGGTCTTGTCCTTTTGCTTTACCACTGAGCATCATTCAACTTCCTTGTGCTCCCATCACACAGTTTTGGTCCCTACTTTACAAAAAAAAGTTGTGGAAAGGCTGGAGAGAGTGCAGAGAAGAGCCACAGAGATGATCCAGGGACTTGGGAGCTGCCATGTGAGGAAAGGCTGAGAGAATTGGAGAAAAGAAGTCGTAGGGGAAACCTTATCACCGCGTTCCAGGACTTAAAGGGTGCCTACAAAGAAGATGAAAAGCCCCTTTTTACAAGGAGTCACATGGAAAAGAGGAGGGGTAAGGGGCACATTGCTCCTGCTCTGTTCTGGTTCCCAGAAGAGAAAAGATTTGAAGGAAGCAATCCCCAGTTTTTTGCCAGCTGCTCACGTTTGCACGCTAATAGGTAAAACCTAAGTGATGATATTTCCAGTTCTAGGATGTGGTAGGTTGAGAAATTTTAAACGAAGGTGCTTTTTGCTATTACTAGCTGCAGAGTGCTGATTCCAAGATTTCCATCAGCCCGTGGCTGTTGACATTAACTCCTGCACCCGGGGCTCCAGCTCTGCCCCAGCTGCAGGAGAGGTTTACACGATAAACATGTTTCTGCCCTTGTGTACCCGCTCATGAGACACTTCAATAAAGTAAGTCCTTTATGAAGGACGCCATTGTCCAGGAGAAACTAATTTTGGGACATAAATAATGTAAAAGAAATGTCGGAATGCCCTTGAGAGGGGCTACGGATGGTCACCCACACGGGCTCTGGCACATGGGCAAGGTCTTGGGGTGCAGAGTCCCAGTTCTGGAGAGCCCTGATCCCACCCAGCACTGGAGAGGTGTCAGCTGGGCATCCCAACACATGTTTGGAGGTCCCTTCCAAACCCTGACTTTCTGGGATTCTGGGATTCTGTGACTCTGTGATCTGGTGACACAGCAAACCCGACGGGCTTTGCTCAGCAGCGCGGCGTGGCTCGCACCGCTCACAACCTGGGAGGCCGAGCAGATAAAAATCTGAGCTGTGGGAACCCGGCGAGCCCTGCTGTGCTCTAGGAACAGGTGGTGCTTTTGCAAAACTCACCGAACCACTCACGAGGAGGCCGGTTACCAAGCAATGCTTGATACAGTCGCCATCCCCTACGGCTTTTGTGTGCCAGGAGTAGAAAGCAAGGATGGAGGGGTCTCGGAGGAATCTTAGGATCACAGAATCCCAGACTGGTTTGGGTTGGAAGGGACCTTCAAGATCATCTTGTTCCAAGCCCCTGCCCTGGGCAGGGATCCCTCCCACCAGAGCAGGTTGCTCCAAGCCCCGTCCAACATGGCCTTGGGCACTGGGATGAGGCATCCGCAGCTTTCCTGGGCAACCTGAATCAAGGAAACAGATTATTTGGTTATTTTTCCAAGCATTTATTCTGATTGATAGCACACACATTGATTCGGTACACAAACAAGCTAGTTTCTGAGGAAAACAATGATCTCAAAATCTTTTTTTTCCAAACACCACAGTTCCTGTAACATCTTTGACAGAAGTACAACATATTAAACTCAGTATTAGAAATAGTGCTGTCACGGAATTTAAATACATCACATAAAAGTCATCTTTAAAGAAATGCAACAAAACATACAGCTTCCCACTCAAACAAGTAAATGGGAGATAAAAGCTTTCATTTATGACAAAGGTTTTTGAATTCATTTCTGAAAGTGCATTCCTCCAGCCATGTCCCACCGTGGCAGTCGTGGCTGGCAAATAGTGCTTCAGCTCCTCTTCTGTAAACAAGTGAAAAGCAGACGTTCCTTCCCATGTTCTGATATTTAAAGTAGCTTCTTCATATTCTGGCACCCAAAGATGGAGACAACTGCTTTTTCCCAAATGGAAAAATTCCGTGTCCTATTTCACTAAAGCCGAAAAGGGCACGGCACAACAAAATTATTTGAAGTGAACTAACGTAAAACAATCCCTTGCACGTGGAAAGAAGCAGCCCATGCCCCGTTCTAGAACCAAAGCGGGGTCCCTCCCCAAGGCCGCTGTACGGCAACATCGTGGCCGAATCACTCTCTCATCACCGCAAACTTGATCAACTGGGAAAACCAGCACTCTCCTCCTGCTGCTGCTGGTACAAGGGGGATGGATTCCTTCCTCCTCCTCCTCCTCCTCACAGAACTCCCCCCTCACTCTCCAGCTCAGGATCCCAGACGAAACGGCTCGACACAGAACGGTTCAGTCGAACTGTTAAGGTCATCCTGACATATTTCACAAGTGACTGGGTTTGTTTTATTTGGTTTAAAAAGCTAATGTACATAAATGGAGCAATATGAACCCAGTCTTTTTATATCCCAAAAATATATTTCTTTTTTTAAAAAAAATACGATTCCCATCAGACACTTTTACATAGAGAACGAGTAAAATTTTTCCGCCGTGTTGCCCAAAGTGCTGATCAGTGAACGGAGCGGGGCCAGGAGGATGGGGTCACCTCCTCACTGAAAAAGGAATTTATTTCACAGACGATGAGTAGTGATGAAAGACAGGTGGCACCTTGCACGATGTGCCTCTGTGCTTTGTGGGGTGAATTAAAGCACGCTGTTAGCTGTCAGGGTGCACTTGAATGCCACCCAGATAACATTAGATTTACGTGAACAGTGGCTTCTGCCGTCCAACTAATTATTTTTATCTGGCTGATACAAAGATAAAGAGTTAGACAATGTGGTAGCAGAAGGAGAAGAGTCCGTAGCCAGTTTCTCTTTCGAGTAGTTATTCTTATGAACAAAGAGAAATCAAAATAAAGGTTCTGTGCAAGAAATGCCTGGCAGATAAAGGGTAACATTTGCCTTTAACGCCCCCGGATTCAATGCTGTATGGCACCCAGTACGTGGTGTACAACTACAAAATATATTGTATTTTACTGTATTTGCATCTAATTTCACCCAAGAAGCTACAAAACGGGAGACACTAGAGGCTATCCTAGAGGCTGGGTGAAGAAAAAGAGGAAAAAAAATGTAGCCCTTTTAAAAATAAAGCTCAGATGTGACACCAATGGATCAGAACACAGTTTTTTGATAAAACCTGAGAGATACCTGTGGGAAAGATCTGACTAACGCACACCCTTTTACTCACCTCTTCCAGTCTGCTTTATTTTAAAAATTCCCAAAGCTGCCATATCTCTCAAATTTGTCTGTTTGAAGCACAGAAGAAATAAATTACTTTGAACTACTATTGTGGCCACTTTATAGGGCTTTTTAGCAATGAAGAAGTTTTGAGTGGCACCCTCCTTCCTTAAAAATCATTTGATGTTCATTTTGTTCCCAGACACATGTGCATTTCTGAATAGAACAACTCATGTGAAAACAGTATTTCTGGCTTTATTAAATGTTGCCATTAATCCACAGGAAGAAGAACATTTACTGTCTCTTACAACCTGTTTATCACCCTCTCCATCTGCTCAAAGTAGTTTTATCGTGTGCTTTGCAAACAGCAATTCTGGTTAAGCCTGGGCATTTCACAGGCTGCTATTTAAAAAAAAAATTAAAAATTCATGGATTTCTCACGTGTGCTATTTGTCCCAACGCTACAGCCTCCTCGGCAGATGAGCTTATTTAACATCCACACAGAAAAAGTATTTGTCAGGGTAAACCCACATGTCCTGAGACATGTGTTACCTTCGGCTAGAGGGAGAGAACGATGTAACATCATCACTACAGCATGACCTTTGCAGTTTTAAGCCACTGAAACTGAAATGAAGCCTCTCAATTTTGCCTTTCTTGAATTCTTGGGGGTTTTGCCCTTTTCTCTCCTTGTCCCTCCAGAAAAAAGGAGGAAGGACTCTCTGACGTAGATAAGCTTAGTATTAAAACATACATAGGAGCGGGTCTCTTCAGCAGCAGCATCTGTTGAAACCGTTCCAAGTGTCCCCTGACAGGAAATGCATTTTTCCTACCTTAACACAAGAAAATTCCCTCCGAACTCTATTTTAGGCACACAAAACATTGTGTTCTGCTGCAGCTCGGTTACGAATGGCAACAACAATGGAACGTAGAAACAAAAGCAATTCTGCCTTCCGCATTTGAGATTTTTTTGGCACATTGGATAAATAACCCTTTGGCACTGGGAAGTGCACTCAGTAACACCACTCGCAGCTGCACACGCTGCCACTGACTTGCCACGGGTACCCCGATTCACAGTAAGACTTTAAACCACTCGTTGGCAGAAGTGGTTTCCAGGAAAACGGTTCAACATTCCTTCATGCCGCTGTCCGTCGGATTTCTTCAGACAAGGTGATCGACCTTTCCTTCCACTCGTTGTTCGAGCACTTGGAGACGGCGTTGGCTGCTTGGCAGAACTTCTGGAGGAGGATCTTTCTGAGGAGCAGGTAAACCCACGGGTCCAGGATCTGGTTGAGGGAGGCCAAGCGCACGGCTGTCAGGAAGAAATTGCATTCTTTGTGCAGTTCTGAGCTTTCGGCTTCACTGGAGAATCTCCTACAGCGTTCAAACGACGTGTGGCTGAAGATCATCTTCAACATCATTATCTAAGGAGAGGGAAGAAGTGACACATGTTACGAGGCTGCTATCTCCATATCGCTGTATGCAAACATCCCCAAAGATAAAATCCTGTTGCAAAATTTTATTTCCTTCGTCGTCCAATTTAAAGTGTGAGCGGAGCAAATAAGCACTGCGAGAGCAGCTCCATTTGTGTGTCTGTGTAAAATGAGCGATAAACACGACACCCTCCAGCCATCAGTCAGATTTGTTTAGAGATCTTCAGCCACAACAAGGCGGCACATGCTGCTCCCCTGCTTGAGACACCACAGAAAGCTGCCTCTGAGATCCCAGAGGTCCTGCACGGCCTTGGTGAGAAAGGGAAATTACTGACCTTGCAAAACTGACTCAGGGGGGCTCATTTTATCATCATCACTTTATCACAATTACAAGGAGCAGATGAGCAACTCATGATGAGTAGCGCTCTTTTAAAATTACCTCATGAACAGTAAATGGCAGAAAAAAAGAATTTCAAATACAAAGATGTCTTCATTTTCTTTTACGCGTAGATGTCTTATTCTACGACTTCTAAATCCTAGAATTTGATTTTAAGGTAAACCATTCTCCTTATGAACTGAGCCAAATTAAAAGAAAAGGGTTAATAAAGGTCAAGAAAACATCTGAAGCCCATTGCCACAGCCCGAGTTTTGTGTTAACCTGACCTATATTCCTCATTTCTGCATCCAGTTCAGCTCCCCAGCGAGCAGGGTGGCGTTTTCAGCAATCTGTTTCCCACAGCTTCCTAACCGGCATGGCCGAGAGACACGATTTACACTGTAAAAGATCTCACATGAGTAGAAGTTTCCTCCGGGAGGAAGGATCCATTTTTCTTATGGGTTGCTACAAGGCGTACAACCTTGAACAGACTTCTAAACAGGACACTGCATTATAACATTTCAGTCAACTAAAACAACACCACATCATACGCCCTCATTTGCCAAATTTAGACATGAACTTGCTTTTCACCCATCGGTGCCATGAGCCTTGAAACACGAGGCCACCTTTACCCTCACTTTACCAGATATAATTTCCCATGGTTTAGCCAGTATCTGCTGCCTGCAGCTCCCTCCTGAGCTTTCTTACCAACTACAGCTGCTTGAAAATATATCACTTCAGAGGCTTTTAGTTGCTTTTCTACAGATAAACTACATTAGATTTTGGATTGTGTTGTTTGTGGAGTTTTTTTCCCATAAACACAGGGATCAAAACATCCTCTGAGCAGGCACTTGCCACGCAACTCACTGCCAAACCACCTGGAAAATGGGGAAAACACCTGCCTGAGACCCATGAGGAAGCTCTCAGGTGCTTTAGAGCCAGGAAGAAGGCAGAGCTGGTGATGTGAGGACAGGGCATGCTTTGTAACATCTGAAATTACTGCCTGGAAATCCTGGAACAGGGATGCAGCAGGCGAGCACATTTTGATGTCACGGAGACGGATACCTCTGCACCACGGCTCCGACGTGCACCATTCAGCTTTGCAAAGGTCAGGGGCACCATAGGCTAAAAAACCTGCTGGCCAGCCCTGAAAACGCTTGAGGGATGAGACTCAAAGTCTGTTATTCACAGCCTTGCCCAACTTTCTGGATTTCAGCCTCTGGCAAGACCCAAGACAAGCCAGCGATGCAAGCCGAGCGGTCCCAGCCAAGGTTTTCCCAGAGAAGGCTGTCTCCTGAGTGCAGATGTCACCCAGAAAGGTCACATCTGGGCAGCTGCTGTCCCCATAAACCGGGACAGTCAGAGCAAGAGTGACCAGGAGCAGAGGCTCCAGGGGAGGATTTTTCCATCCAAAGGGATATTCTGGGTGCCAGATCAATAACCGTGTGTTGACCTTGGAAAGACTTAGATGAGTCGGGCAGGCGGGGCAGCTAGGACAGCAAAGCAGAATTGTTTTTGTTTCTTTAAATAGAAGCAGTTGAGGATTCCATCCACTGCATTTAATTTAAATGAAAATGACAACTAACCATCGGCAGAGCTTTTTTAAACACATGAGCAGATACAGATCCGGACCATGTGCAGAGCATCGGACCCACACAACCACAGTCCTACTGCTTCCCCTGTCACCACCAGCTCGGAATGCTGTCACCATCACAGCATCTCCCTCCCGTGCCCGCCCCGGCGGGGACTGTGGCATTGCCATCCCATGAAGAGCAGTAGCAACGTGTAAATACTCTGGGTCCACGGTATAACCAAGGGAAACCACTCCACGTTTTGTTACTCCCGCTGCTCCGACTGCTTTCTCCCAGCTCAGCTCTTCTACCTCTGCCTCTGGGAACTCCACAACCACCCTCGTTTCGCAGACTTCGTCATCTCGTTCTTTTGTTAACGAACCCACGGAGCTACAAAAATACCAGGCTATTAAAAATACGTTTCCCAAGCAGAAGACTGCTGCTTATTTTTGGTTTTCTTACATAATGTTCCTTTATTGGAGCATTTGTTGGACCGACAATTGCACTACTGGAAATTTCATTTGTCTGAGATCCTTAGAGGCTGTTTATCATGGCCTGTGCTGGTCTTCTAAATGAATTACAAGAAAGACTGCAAAAGGCAGAGGAAACACATTGGGTCAAATAAAGTCAATGGAGCTACACGATTTATGCCAATTAGAAATGCATATAGTAATACAGTTGATAATTGCATTTATTCAATTAGAGTGGATAAAACTTGACTGTTACCACTGAATGTAGTTCTATAATAACATCAAACCTCCTCGGCCCCATTTTTCAAACTTACAACCAAAGACAAGACGCCTTTCGTGAGATATCTTTATCGTGTTTTGAATAAAGTTGGATTGTGGTACACAAGAATGTTTCAGGGCTTTGCACAGGCTCCCCAGATGGCAAGCATCACCGTGATGGATTGCCACGGGCTTCACTTCACACGGGCAGCCTGCGTTACCTCAGTCTGACTCCTAGGCAGCTTATTATTATATCGCAAAGAGTTTAGAACAAACTTCCATTGTTGTTAGGGAAAAACAAAATAAATTTAAAAAGAAGACAAAAACTTTCCCAAAGGTTTTTTTTTTCCCAGTTTTACAAACTGTGTTGGAAACTGCTGCTATCTGCAGGAAAAGATAGAAAATAAACAGCAGTTCTGCACATTTTCCAGCCTAGCAAGAGCTGAATAGCTGGTCTAGCATGTGGGCTAAGTATCTGATGGGAAACCTCTGGCCCAAGACTGCAAAATCTTTTCTTGAGGTAGCTTCCAAAAAAAGAAACATGTTTTCTACGCATCATGAAGACAGGAGCAATCATCCTCTCACCCCGCTTCTCCTCTCCCATTAGCCCTGATCTGTTGCTTAAATAACCCTCTCACACACGCAGAAGTGAGCAGTGGAAGGAACAGAGGACTCTCCTAATGAAATACAGACAGTGGCTGGGGTGAGCGAACAGCGGAACGCCACGATTTTCCCTTGTAATGATTAACAACACCTACGGTCACGCTCCACCTTGCTTTAAAACCAAACCCATAATTTTGTCTCATTAAATTTTTAGGACTCTTTTCCGCCGCCTCCACTGGAGAAGGAAAGACTTCAGCTCGAGCCAGCCAAATACCATTACAGGCTCTGCTTCTGAAGGAGAACTTCCCATCGCCTAGCACAGCCATGGACATCTTTTTTTTGAAGCAGAAATACTGCACATCACAACAAAGATCACACTTACAGAAGGATAATAATGTAGGGAATGATGAGAAGGGCCCATCAAAGTCTAGTGGGATTCAAACAGACATGGTTGAATTTTTACCACTTGGTTTTGACCTTATGTAGACAAATAGAGACCAGCAAAATCCAGTCTTTTGGCCAAACCGAAATGATCATTTCTGAGACAGGTGGCTATTTCAGCCTCACATGGAAAAGGAGCATTAGCGGGAAGTTGCCCATCTGCAGGAAAGGGGTCATCGATTTTCCTGGCAGCTCAGTGATATCACTGTATTTTTTTTTTTTTAATGAGTGAAGGTGCTTTTCACACCTACATTATGCAAGTGCATAGTTTTGTAGCCTGGAGCTCTGAAAGAATTATTAATGAGAATTCCAGGTGGTGCCGCACCAGTGTTTGGGTGCAGTCAGGGAGTAGCTCGCTCTATTTTACCTCAGACTCATTTTAATCCACTGTCACTTTAGTTTAATGGCTATGCTCCACAGCTGAGCACCAAAATAAATAGCAGATGAGCCTGAACTGGAAACCACTTACGATAAAGAGGTATCTTATTTAAATGCAGCGTTCTCCCAGGCTCTCCATGCTGAATTCAAGTAGGATCCTGAGTACACAATGAAAGAAGATGCCTGCACTATGTATGCACTTCCCCTCTTTACCAAATCCAGCCCAAACTAAGAAAAGGGAGGATGCTTCATGAAGATGTTTAGAGCGCTGCCACCATTGTCAGAAATCTCACTTTTCTGTTGCATCACATTTGATTTTGTCATTTTCATCAACAGATCAAGTCTAAAAATGCTGTCTGTGCAAAAGGATATTGTTTACCCAATAGCAATAATCATCAGAATCTCTCAGTTCTCAGTTATAAAACTCAGATTTCCTTTTTTTTAAAAAAAAAAGAAAATCCACCACAAAAAACTCCTCTGATTCAGCTAAATTTCTTACAACTGCTGAATGACATAGCTACAGATTAAATGAGTTCTACAATCTGGCTTTCACTGAAAAGGCACTTGCATTACCCTCTGGTCGCTCTTCCAAAAACCCAGCCTCTTATTCCTAATTGGTAGTTTGTGACTATACAGAAAAAAAGTTCAAGTGTATAAAAATGCTCCCACAGTTGTGATTCTTGATCCCAAGAACACGAAGCCTGGAGAACATGCTGACCAGGCAGAGAAGTTTTGCAGAACTCCACAGAAAAAGCTGCAGGCTCCCGAGTGCTGCTGCCACGCGAGGAAGGGAGCTGCTCGCATGCAAAGCGCTGCCAACCAGTAGCTCTTCAGCTGGGATCGACTTTGAACTGGGAAAGGTAGGCTCCTCGCCAGGGAGTCGGGTCACCTTCCGTGGCCAAACCCCTGAGGAGCCCAGCCCTCTCTTACCAGCTGCCCAAGAGGTTTCTAGAGGGGTCAGTGGTGATTGCAGTGGGCTCCCTGAGCCAGGCTCCGCTCCGTTAACTCATCCCACAGATTCATTCAGCAGGGCGGGGGCAGCTCTGTGGGTTTGACTGCTGACTGCTGCATCTGCAAAAATGCCATGGGAACAAAAGAGAATCCCAGAACTGCTCAGGTTGGAAAAGATCTTTAAGATCGAGTCCAACCGTTGAACCAGCACTGCCAGGCTCACCACTGACCTGTGCCACAGCCACACACAGAGACACAGACACGATGACTTCCCAAGTTTCATGTTCCTTGGGGTCTAAGGACCAGAACGTTATTTTTTGCTCTCGAGTTCTCACTACATTTTCAGTGCAGTTTCGTATTTTACTTCTGTCACAAGCTGCTAATCAGCTCTAAAAAGTTAACTTACTGCCTCTGACTTATGTGGTGGTGGGGTTATTTTGGAAATTTGACAGAATTTTAATTAATTTACAAGGATAACATTACTAAAATTGTTTTCTCTCTTTACCTCATCCCCATCGGCTGTCAGCTTTGTCGGCCATTCCTCCTGTCACAGCCCCATTTACAAGAGCTCATGTTCTCTGTGCACAAGAAGGAAGAAAACCCCTTCTCCGGCCATAAAGTAACTTCCACATAATTTCAAATTTACCATATCTAGCTTCAGCCTTTTCCATCTGCTTCTGCATTCCGAGTACAAACTTTCTAAAAGTCACACTATCCTTGGAGAGCAGAATCAGCTGGCCTTTCTAGCTGGGCTGTCAGGCTCCTGGATATGCCCCTGTCCTACATGGCAGAAGATATGGATCCAGCCTCCTCCGCTCCTAAACCCCAGCTGGACAAGAAAGCGCGTAACTGAGCAATAACAAGAGCAGAAAGAGATGCAAGTGTCCTTTAAAAAAAAACAAAGAGCCCAGAATGCTGCTGTAAATTCCGAATCACAGAACAGTCAGGGTTGGAAGGGACCTCTGAAGGTCACCTAGTCCAACCCCCCTGCCAGAGCAGAATCACCTTGAGCAGATCACAGAGGAACATGTCCAGGTGGGTTTTGAAAGTCTTCGGAGACAGAGACTGTGATATAGCGAACACCAACCTTTTGACAAACAGAAGGTGCTCGCAAAGTCATGAGTCGCAGCTTTTCTCCTACAGCTCTGAAGAAAGCTTTGCTGCAAGGTGGGAGCAAATAAAAAAACGCAACAAGCTACAAATGGCTATTTCCCGTGAGCACAGGGCTCCACCATTGTAAGATCTCAATAAATTTCCTTGCAGGTTCCCCTAAACAAGGAAGAAGCGGGCTCCAGCACCCCTCGTCCCGTCACCCCCTGACCCCCGGGTGCTCCCTGTGGGTACATGCCAGATGTCCTGCCTTCCTCCTCAGCACGAGACCCTAGCTTTCCTCAAGATCCCTCTTTCGACTCTTTGGCTGTCTTCTCGGACCTCTCCCAGCTTCTCTCCCTCTCCCAGCTGACATCTCTGTCCCCGCTTTCCCTCCTCTGAGGCCATCTCCATGGAGAAACCTGCACCCCAGTGCCCTCCCACCACCTGGGGGAAGGAGGGAGTTAACCAGGGGCTGACCAGCGCGGTGACCTACCAGCAGCGGTGACCAGCAGGCTGAGAGAACACACATGATCCCCAGGAGCTGGATGAGCGTCTCCATGGCGATCCGCCCCCACTGCTTGCTGGAGTGCGACGCGGTCGCTTTGGTCCGACAGCGAGACACCAAGGCCTCGATGGTGGCCAGGTTGCACGCCACCGTCACCACGAGGGAGAGGAGCCCCAGGACGGCGAAGGTGGGGGCGAAGAAG